GCTCTTATTCATCTGAATGATTGCTATTATGAAAAGGAAATTAACACAATATGTTGGTGGAAGGTAATGATTAGTAAAGTTTGATCTATAGTTATAGATCTGTTTGGACATAATTTTGGTATTTATAGACTAAAAAAAGTGCATGGACATGTGATCCTGTTAAGGTAATTTATTCACAGGCAATGAATAGGTATAAAATATCTAAAGTAAGACTAGGTAGAATCATTTAACCTCATTTTAAAAAACCCCACTTTTACATGTATATATTCCTAGGAACGAGAAACAATTTTAAAGTGCTCTGATATGAAGTATTTTATAAGTATTTTATTATTCTTTTAAAAAGTTTTACTCTAGGCATCCATCCAGTGGCCAGCATTTTGTGAGCCTGGCAGTAGCCAGCTGAGGTGAATGGAAGAGGGCAGAGGGCAAAGGACAGTGTTAGAATGGTTCTTCTTGGTTGAATTAATTGCATTTTTTCACGGTGAATCTGAGGGATTCTCCACTTTTCCTTTCAATCTCTAGTTTCTTCCCTTTAGATCTGCTCTTCCCTTTCCTCTTTCCCATATTTTTCACAAAGGAAAACTGGCCCAAAGAGTTTGCTGTATAAATAGGTGTCAGGAGGCTGAAATCTTTATTATTTCCATTCCCTGGATTTCTTCGAGTGTGGTCATGACTAATTGACTTTGAAAATGGGAGTCAGCAAATGAGGCATATTTGGGGTTGATGACTTTCCCTCACACAATAAAGGTACACCAACCTTAAGGTAAAACACCAAGTACAAGTACCAAGCACAATTAGTAAATGGGTCATCGCATTTTCATGTTATTATCTCATTTGACCCACATAGCAGCCTTCCCTTCTAGATGTGAAGAAAACAGTATTATCTTCCTTTCATTGAAGAGAATACAAGTTAAGAGATGGTAAGGTAGTGAGAGCCAACCTGTGCTCCTTAAACCTGTCTCTCGACTCTACCATGCTAATATTCAGATGTTCCAGAAATTATGGAGAACCTACTATGGCCAAGTGCCACTTTAATTACTGTGTGACCTTTGGAAAGTTACTTAATCTTCCTGTGCCTTAGTTTCCTCATCTTTAAAGTCGGGATAATAATACTGACTTTATAGGGTTGTTGGAGAATTAAATGAATTAACCTAAACAGAGTCCTGAGAATAGTGCCCAGCATATAGCATGCATTCAATAAGTATAAGCTATTATAACATAAGGTGGTAATTATTAGTAGTATTTCTAATCAACAAGTGGAAGAATTTTGTTTTTGAAACAGTCTTCTAACTCCACATCCAGTACTCTTTTAATCATAGCACAATTGTCTCAGATTACCTTACTATTTCCCAAAAGTCAATTAGGTGCCATATGACACCACAGAGACACACAAGTGAATACAATTAGTATTATATAAATATCATTAATTTACTGCTAAAATGCTAGCTACTTAAAAATTATAAGCATACTCTAAAGTACATGGTATTTTTACTCACCTTTAAAAAATTTATACGTAGTAAAATTTACCCTCAAGTTCTGAGTTTTGACAAACACATACCGTTTTGTAACTACTACCACAATCAAGGTATGGAACAGTTCTTAGAATTTATTTTTGAGTAGAATCCTAAGTAAATATTCTAAAATAATTTTTTCTAACATTAGAAGCCCATATAAGCACATCTCCTTGATTCAGGCAAAGATAATGCGAAACTTGGATAATAATTCTCATTCATTTATTCCTTGACTCAAAAAGTATTCACTGAGTTCTTCCTCCTTGTGTAGCATTGTGTGGTTGTCTATAAAGATGAGGAAGTGTCCCCAAGTTTCCTACCCTCAAAAGGAGAAAATATAATAGTTTTGCTTTACACTTCCGCCTAGTGCTAATAGATAATCAGAAGAGGGAGATAATAGGGCTTTTCCTAAACTCATTTTAAGAAGAGGGCGTGAAAGAAGGATGACAAAGTGTCAGTGTTTCTCTACTTAGCACATATTAAAAAAGATAATATCCTCTCCCTCTATAAAACCTACAACTCAGTTTAATTCCTCAAATATTTGTTGTAGGTAACATATCACTGGTTGGACACAGTCCCTGTCCTCAAGCAGTTTTAGTATAGTAGAGCAGATAGTTATAATCCAAGACAAAAAATGATCAAGGGGACAAAATGATATGTATTCAGAGAGAGGTGGGGGAATGTTGAGGTGGGAGAATGAATAAAGGCTTTATAAACGAGGTGGTATTTAAACAAGGTCTTGAAAAAGAGGTAGAATTTTGACAAGTGCTATTGATGGAGAGAGGAGAAAAGTTTAGTATGCTACAAAGCTGCTGCACTGTTCAGTATGGTAGCCTGTAGCCACAAGTGGCTATTTAAATTAAAATTAAATAAAAATACACCTCCTCGGTCGCACTAGTCACATTTCAAATGCTTAATAGCTACAAGTGACTAGTAGCTACCGTATTGGACAGGATAGAGTAGAACATTTCCATCATAACAGAAAGTTCTGTTGGATAGTGTTTCTATAGAAGGAACAGCAATGAAAGGTCAGGAGGTGGAAACAATGAATTATCCAAATCTCTGTTCAAGCCCTTGGAGAAGATGCCAGAAATAATGGTATATTCATGTATTTCCTCTCCAAATAGAAATTGGAAATACATGTGTATGTAAAGATCAATGACCCAATTGTTTCACTGGCTGGTCTGGTTCAATAATCACGCTGAGTTCATACTATAAATCAATAATGAAGACATAAGACTTAACAGGCCTATCTAATTGCTCCATCTATCTGAGCACACAGATCACAGCAGCTGAAAGCCAGGCCCTAGGGTCCAGCCAAGTGTGGGTGCTGCTGTTCCTTCTGGCAGGGACCTGTTAGCTGACTGGGTCCAAGCCGAATGGCTTGGGCCTGTCACAGCTGCAGTCACCTAAGAACATGCTCATTATTAAAACACTTGCTTCTTTAAAAGTAATGGCAGTATCCACTGCAAAACCTAAAGGCAGGTAGAACTTTGAAGAAATGATAACTCAGAGAAACAAAACAAGTCCAGCTCCATGAATATGGATGAATTGAGTGATATGTGACCGCAGTCATTGATAAACTTGTGAAGGTGCAGACTTCAGCATTTTGGTAAGAGCTGTTGCCTGCTCTGTCAGAAGGGTGGTTTGACTAAACCACCCAAAGCTGTAGTGGTGTTTTTACAGAGCCAGCCAGGTCATCATTTCCCTGGGGTCCAAATGGACTGAGGTATGTAGTGCCAGGAAACCACGTATCACGGCTTTCTAAATCTATGAGACTCTAAAATGTGTGCCTTCATTGGTTACAAAAAAGTCTAGAAAATGAATCATCTGGGGAAATCAAAAGTAGCTCCAAATATACTGAATATAGATTCTTTTGGTTGGGTGGTCCCTCTTAACTTTAGATTTAATCATTGCTCACTTGACTTTGAGTCCTTTAAAATATTCTTTGATAATAATTGACTTTTAATGTGCATGTGGGTATTTTTGGACACCATCATTAGGCATTTTACTTATACAGGCTCATTGGACAACACATAGTTGTCTTCTCTTAAAAGAGATTAAGAGTACTAGGAAAAGGGAGAGAAAAAAACAATGAGATACTAACTTTAAATAATTACTTTTTTTAAAGTAAGATATACTATATGGATAATATACATCCTATAGATATATATGCACTTATTTTGCTTTTCTTAGGAGGGAAGCTTATAGAACCATACTCTTCCCTTCCCCCACAAAGACTGAAATTTAGAAGAACCATCTAAGGGTCTTTATAGTTCCTTAATGCTGTGGACTATGTATCAGAAAGAATGCAACTACTATGCCATGAAAAGTATTTTTGCAACTCTGTTAACATATGAACACCTGTTTCTACATAATGGTAACCAGTAGAATGTCAAAGGCAAACTTGAAAGTAAATCTGCATGCCAAGGAAACCTAGATTGATACAGATTCAATATTTTTCAGTTTGTTAGATTTCTTGGAAAATACTTGTAATCATACACGCATTTCAATTTTTGATGCCTCTTGACCCACATTTGTTTGGGAGTGTTTCCTCAATGAACTCAGCATTTTCAAAAGATTGAAGGAGACATTTTGTTTTCTTTTCTAAACAGTCAAATAAGGGAAAAAATTATTAATTTCAGTTTGCTTTATTTTCAGAAGGATTCTGTGTTTCCTACTGGGGAAATCATACTAATGACTCAACCATTCATAGTGTTATTTTGCTGGTTTATGCTACGTCAGTGGAAAATAACGAGTCTAATTTTTTTCCCCTGCATGATAAAAATCTATTACATTTACTGGGAATCTACCAGTCAGCAGGAACTCATTTATTTCAGGGTAATCTAGCTCCTGAAATACTATTGACAACATTTACCTTTAACTAGATTGTAAGAACAGAATGAACACAAGTCATTTGGTTCCTAGTTTCATAATTTTGCCACCCATACATTATTTAGACAGCCTTAAGCTGCCTTTGCTTGGCTATGATAGATATTTTAGAATATCTCTGACTCATGAATATAAATAGTTGTGCAAAAATAAATTTTATAAAACCAGAGCTGGTAACAAAAATCACCTAGAGATCAACAACTCTGAAAGAATCTAGTGTCACATTCCTTAGAATGTCAGATTAAACTAACATGTGCCAGTCAATATTGCTACACTGCGACCCTTGATGCCTCCTAAGCAAAACTATTAAGTCCAACATTCTCTCCTGTAAGCACTTATCTGTAAGGATGGCTAACATGTCCTCTGAAGCAGATATTGAAACTGATTGGACAATAGGTAGATACCAGACAGGGGCCTGGGGGCCGACCTCTAGAAATAGGGGGAGAAACTCTTAATCTGCAACACAATGCTGTTCTCTTGAAACCCTATCATTTTCACTTCCCATGTGTCTGCTGCCTGACTGTGAATGGATTTGAAAAGGAATGGTTAGTGCTGAAAATTGGATCAGAGCTAACATTCTCTCATTTTTATCAGCAGCTGCCAAAGGTCATCTGACATAATAGCTGATGAATTCAAGCCCAGTGGATTTCATTTGCAATTTTCAATTTACTGAGGCCTCCAAACCCCACGGTGATAAAAGCTTCCCCTATCGTGGCCTGTCACAAACATCAAGAAACTGCACAAACCCACAAGAAAGAAAAAAGAGAAAGCTGTGCATCCTCGCAGGTACAGATAAGGAGAACAGGAAGAAATGGTATCACGCAGGAAGGTATGGAGCAGCTTGTGTGGCTAGTTCTCCAAATGCCAGTTGAAAGGAAAAGACTATGAAGAACAATCAAATAACTTCCACAGAATAACGTCATGTTTCTTTGGGGCTTTTGTGTGAAAATTGCGTTCTAATCTCTTATTTGACATGCCCCTAAACAAAAATATGAGTGTAAATATGCAAATAAACAAATGAATAAATAATCTTTGCTTATTTGATCATTGGAAAGAAAGCACACTCTGTGTGTTGTATTTAGCATAGTTTTGATTTACAAAATGCGTGCTCCTAAAGGATCTTTTATCATGGAAGTGTCAGTCAGCACTAAGAAATCATTTGTTTTCTCGTAGAGAAATGGTAGATCCTTTGATTGATTTGCAAGGGCAGTCAAAGGACTGACATAGCAACTACTTGTAAGTGGATCTAGACACAGTGTATATTGAAGATGTATTAGCAAGGGAAGAAAGCCATTTTCCCCTCCTGTCAAGCTATTTACAGTGAACTTTGGCAGGATCTGGGACTGAATCTTGCTCCCAGCAATTGTTCAAATTGAGGAGACTATATGCGTGTTCCTTGCAGAATGGTAAGTTTAAAAGTTGAGCAGCTCATCTTCATCCTATCCTACACAACTCATACGATAGCTTACAAAGAGAAAGCAAAGAGATGACCACTGTTTGAGGTACAACTGCTTGGAGAATTCCATTTCAGACATGGATGTCTGGATCCCATTTCTACCAAATAGATTCAGAAAGGCTTATGAAATTGGTCTAATGAGGCAAGAGAACTTGGCAGAGGGCATCTAACAACATGCCTCATGACGAAATTTCTCATGCCAGTTGACAAGAAAACCCAAGAATGACATCAACAAGACCAGGATATTAACTCCATTTGTGTATTGGTAACTGTGAGACACGCACAGGTTGGAAAGGAAAAGAGACTAATTCCTGGTTGAACTGATGTGATTGTGAGAGGCTGCCTACTGTAGAATGATAACTTAAACTGTCACAGCAAAAAGCAAAAATGTGGGCTATTCATCATAATTGAATCCTTGGTTCTTTGAAATTAAACTATTTCTTAAGATTTTCTATTAGCAAAAAATTTAATGATCTTTCAATTCTTCAAAGTTTTAAAATAGAAACTGTTTCCTCAAGTAGCTAAAATGGCAGGAATTAACATTTTGAAATAAGGCATAAAAAAGTTTATTCTAAGATGCAGAAAATACAGAAGGTAGCCATATTTTAGCATTTTATTGTTTTTTCTCCTACACAAAATTGTCAGGATGTCACTTTTCAAAAGTTGCTTCCTCTTTTCCCCCTTTTGTAGTTTCTATAGGTTCAAAGAGAACTCTCTCCATAATTTGCAGTTTCTATGGGTTCTCTTTGGATTGTTAGCATAATACAGAGACCCTGGTGATGGTAAAAGATTGCTTAATGGAGTCTTAATTTAATCAGTCCTCTAAAAAAATACGTATAACTTGGTGAGGGTTTTTCATTATCTCTGTTCTTCAATGGCAGTGATACAAGGCAAGCTGTACCAATGGGTCTGTAGTTACATAGCAGAAAGGTTAATCTCTTTTATGTTCCTTCTATTAGAAAGGCAGTTCTCGAATCTTCAGGGCAGAGTCCTAAATTGGTCTTGTAGACTGGTTCACAGAGACTGTTCCCTCTTATGCCCTACGGCTAATTACAATCAGTCAGGCCAGAGCATTCACTGTCGTTTGAATGATGCGATAGACTATTTCCCGTTTCATTAATTAATTTTTTTCATCCCTTCACTTAGTATTTATTTAGTATCTACTAAATGCAGGACAACTATGAATGAGACTTTCCTTACTTTCAAGCAGTTTACAGAAGAGTGAAATACAGAATGTTTTACATCTGCTCTCCCCACCTCCCAGAATTGTTTTTCATATAGCCATAAAAAGTTTAAAATAATGAAAAGTGTATCTTGAGAATTTGAGCAATGGAGTGACACCATTGACATCTGGATATCTTATTTCGGGTGAAAGCTGTGTTTCCCATTTTTTTTGGTAATACGTGCATCATCATAATATTTTTGCCAAGTCTACGTACAATCTGTACTTATTTACTCAATACTTTCCTTTGACAATTCAGCTTTTTAAAATTAACTAAGGTCAATTAGAAAGAGATAATTATCTATAATACCACAAATGGAAAGCCTGTATCATGAGCTGTGAATAAATAATCATAAATATAAATGCATAACGATTATTGTATTAGTCTGTGCACCATCTACATAATTTCATATTTCACTACTGGTACGTGTTTGGAAAATACTGGTTTGGCGTATGGTGCTGATAAAGACCAGTGTTGCAGGCTTGACCTCCGTAAGAACAGATGTCCCATGAGAACAGATACTTTGATTTGTTTCTTGCTGTACCTCCAGCTCCTAGAACAATGCCTAGCACGAATCAGGTACTAAAAAATATTAAATAAATAAGCAAATAAATAAGGGCCAGTTAGCTTCTCAAAGATCAACCTGTATTTCCGTTATAGTCACACTAATCATACTTAATTGTAGTTACTTGTCTAAGTCTCTCAATCACTAGATTGGTCAAAGACTTGGGCTTTCTTGTTCACTTCTGTTATAATCAGTGCCTAGACAATGTCTGGCACACAGTAGGTGCTTAATAAATACTCACTGAATGAAGGGAGAACACCATTCCAAGGTCATACAACTTTTTTGTCTATAATCTCACTGGTCATTTTTATAGAGGAGTTGAATTGGCCAACAGTGGCTTAAAACTATTCAGTACCCGGCACATTAAAAAAAAAAAAATGAATGAATGAAAATTTTTGTGACACCATAAAAAGAGAGTCAACTCCTTATATGAAAGAAAGAACTTTAAAGGAGAATAGATAATCCTTTTTCAATGTTTATATATAGTGCCAATTTTCAACTCTTGAATAAGTCACCCAGGCAAGCCTTTTTTACAATTTACAAATTAAGATTACACTGGAATCTATGTGTTTATAGAAAAACTGACAAATATTGAGGTCAGCAAATTACACCAATGGTACCAGTAGCCTGATGGTATATTTCCATTTAGATTGCTTTTTGAATTCCTTGATTCATTTAAGAATCAAATATCCTGACTAGACAAGTGGTATTTACAAAATCTAAGTTCGTGCTTTTCAATTACGAGGACATCCATAAGAAGAAATAGTTAGTGAAGAATTAGCTGCATTTCTCTGGGCCCCACCCCCAAAAGAGTACTGTCAATCACTGCCCCAAACATAAGCTTTTGTAGGTTTTGAATGCTTTGAACTGGAAAACGACTATTTTAGTGGATAATTAAAGGGTGTTACAACTGATTGAGCTGGTGTAGAATCAGGAAAATTGGTGGGATTGGAATGGACATATAGGTCACATCACTTTTCTTTTGTAATATTTTCTGCTACAAATGATTCTTCACTTGAAAATCAAGCCTTGAACTAAGGTATCGCAAATGGGTTGATAAGGTATGACTGTAAAGACAAACACTGGGAGAACTGTGTCTATCATTTGAGAAATCAGACTCAGCTTAAACAAAGGGATGATTTCTTTAATAGCATAATTCTGTTTCATAAATTTATTGAACTAATTATGCATTTCATAACCATGGTTTATTTGAGCAAATCAGCATTTATCTAATCTGTGCTACACAGAATAGGGTTCAGTAAAATATCAATGAATATTATATTGAAAAAAATCTGGGGTCAGAAAAGTTTGGGTTAAACAGATTTAAAAAAATTGCTCCCCTTGTTCTTCAGAATATGCCAATATGTATTGTGACCAGTCAAGAGTCAACTTATTCAACCATGGAGGCTTTTTTTTCTTATTGAATATCTATTAGAATCCTCCAGAACACAGGCTGGGGAACTCTCAGAGCACAGTCATCCCTATAGGAATGACTTTCTTGAAACAATAGTGCTCATGAATACTGATAAAACATCTTCTGCGGGAGACAAATGATGGACATTCCACCCATTCCTTCTTGTAAAAAAATATTTTATTATAAAATATGACATATAGAAAATTATAAAGACTAATAATATAAAAACATGGGTACACAACACTCAAGTCTATTCGGGCAGTATTTTCTATTTTTATAGGATCTTTTAAGAAGTAATAAAATATTACTGAAATAATTAAATTCTCCTGTAGGCCTCTTCCCAATCCTATTCTTTTCTTACTTTTCCCAAAGGTTACCAACATCCTGAATTTGAAATATTCCCACATATATTATCACTAAATACATTTGTATGGTTTTGCATATGTTTAAGTTATTATAAATTGTATAATATGTACGATACTTCTGTAATTTTTCACTGAAAATCATATTTTGAGATATATCTATGTTGATACATGTAGGACCAGTTTATTGTAACTCTATATTGACTGTTTTATTAATACATCATATTTTATTTATCTATTCTGCTACTGTTGCAAGTTCATTTTCAGTTCTTTGGTAAGACAATGTGGCAATGAGCAGTCCTAAGCGTCTTTCCTTCTTGGTGTGCTCTTCTTCCTTCTTGCTACGGTGCTGTTCAGTGGGTACTCCTGTACACCCAGCGGAGCTCACACCCAGTCAATTTCAGACACCCTTTCCCCCTGACATGAAGGCGGCTTCCAGCAATGCAGCAGCTGCCCCAGGGGGCAGGTTCCTCTGAGTTCCCAGGCACGCTGGCCAGCTTCCCAGAGAGTTCAGAAGCACGCTTCATGGGAAGCTTCCCAGGGAGGGTCATGAGCACCCCACCCCCTAAGCTCATGGATAGCCTCGGTCCACCAGCTGTGAGTCAGTTCTGTCCTGGATCAACCCAGCAAACCTGTCCTCCGCCCGGTGGGCTGTAATGACAGTTTTCCCATGAGGTCTGAACCCAAGTCCTGGGGAAGGTTCCTGCTCTCTCACCTTTCCAAGTTTGTTCTTTCCTTGAGTACTCTCCCTCAGCTCTAGGGTATTCTTTAAAGTTTTTCCCTTTAGTAGTTAATTTCCTGTAAACAGTTAATAACTCTTTATATTAACTTTCCTGCTGCATGGTTTCTATTTCCTGACTGAACCCCAACTGATAAAGGCAGCTTTTCCTCTTTTTCTATTCTTTGAAATAGTTTGTATAAAACAGAAGCTACTTATTCATTCAAGATTTGGAAAACTACTCTATACAACTGTTCACTGTCACGTTCTCTCTTTCTCTCTCTCTTTTTCCTCTGCTTATCTGTCTTGCTAGGAATCAGGTTTTGGTTTTGTCAATTCTCATTGACATTTTTGTTTTTATTTCATTAATGTCTGTTTGTATTACTGGTATTTCTTCCATTGTACCTTCATTAGATATACTCTGCTGTTCTTCTTCTAGTTTCTGGAACGTATTTTCAGAAATTCTGGTTTCAAATTATTTTGAAATTCACAAGTGATTTATACCTTAAGTAAAAATATTTATGGATATATTTTAAAGTTTTTGAATACACATTTTAAAAAATTATTTTTTTTTGCTTTCTAACTTAATTGCATTTTGGTCAGAGATATGTTAGATATCTATTTTATGATTTTTTCTTGAGATTTGCTCTGTGACCTAGTATATGGATAATTTTTATAAATGTTCAGTGCCCTTGAATGTTATTTTGTGGATGCCCTGTCTTCTACATCTCTATTAGATCAATTCATTATTTTTGGCATCAAATCTTTTATATTATTGTTAATTTTTATCCGCTTGATCTGTAAATTTCTTTAAAAAATGTTTTAAAATATCACTCTAAGAATGTGGATTTGTCAATTTTTACTTATAATCTGTCGTTTTGCTTGAAATATTTTGAGGCTATGATGCTGGGTGCACACAAGTTCATGATTGTTATGTCTTTTTGAAGGATTACTCCTTTTATTGTCATGTGTAATGTCATTTTTTTTTCTTTTTTAAAGATTGGCACCTGAGCTAACAACTGTTGCCAATCTTCTTCTTCTTTTTTTTCTGCTTTTTCTCCCCAAATTCCCCAAGTATATAGTTGTATATATTTTTTTTAGTTGTGGGTCCTTCTAGTTGTGGCATGTGGAACACCACCTCAACATGGCCTGATGAACGGTGCCATGTCCATGCCCAAGATCTGAAGCGGTGAACCCCTGGGCCACTGTCAGATCATGTGAGGCCTTATAGAGCATCAAGAGTCTTTGGTGTTTTCTTTTAGTGAAATAGGAAATCATCAAAAGATTCTGAGTAAAAGAATGACGTGATATGACATACGTTTAAAAGGGTCACTCTGATTGCTACGTTGTGAATAGACAGAAGGCAGTCAGAGGTGGAAGCTGGAAGAACAGTTAAGAGGCTATCACAATGAAATTGTCAAGAGATCATGGGCATTTACACTGTCTGCAATGGCAGTCTAGGTTGTTCAGGACAAACCTTCCTGCTGAGAACAATTGATTAAGAAAGACAAAATATATTTTTTAAATATTTCAAAACATTTGTAAAAGCCCTCAAGAAAGTAGAGATTTATAGGTCCAATATCTAGGGAAAGAAGAAACCTAGAGAGCTGAGTCCAGTGTCTGTCTGGTTTTTCCCCTCAAGTTTTTTGCCAATTCTAAAGGCAGTGGCAAAGAGCCTGAGAAGCAGTGCAAAGCTTTCAGGGCTCTCAGAGCCCACTGAAGAGGCAATGTCTTGGCACTAATCCAGGCTTTGGTGGGTGAACCAGAATGTCTATGTTCTAAGAGTAAAGATAATCTGGAAATAGATCATCCTTTACCATGAGCCTTACCCTCAAAACCCAGCTTTGAATAAATTCATTTCCTAATTGGATTAAGATGATCTAAGATTGGTAGTAGCCTAACCTAGCTTTTTACTAGAAATCAAAGGAAATCGTCTCTAGAGAAAGACGCTATGATCCAAAACCTCAAAATATTCTAAAAATAATAATGAGGGAAATGAGAAGGTATGATACGACTAAAAAAGAAAAGAAAAGAAAAGAAAAAGCCGATACTAGAAACAAATACACAGGGGATATAGATAATGGAGTTATCAGACATAGGCTTAAAAATAACTATGTTTCATATGTCCAAGGAATTAAAAGGCAAGATGGAGAATTTCAAAGGGAATTGAAAACTATTAAAAAATCAAATAAAAAGTCTAGATATGAAAAATATAATAACTGGGTATAACAGCAGGTTAGACACAGTTTAAGATAGAATTTTTGAAGTGGAATACAATTCAAAAGAACATCAGGCAAGCATGAAAAGATAAAAGAGTGGAAAATACAGGAAAGAGCATAAAGGAGTATGAAAGGCATATGAGATATATTTGTAGATGAGAGTGCAGAGAGAGACTAGGGAGGAGGCAATATTTGGAGAGATAATGGCTGAGAACTTCCCAAACTGCTGAATATCAAGCACATTTTAAAGAAGCATGGTAAACCCTACACTGAGCAGCTGCAAAGGCAACCACTGCTCAGCACATAATAGTGAAACAACTAACAACCAAAGTTAAGGAGAAAAATCTTAAAGGCAGAGAGAAAAAAAGAAACACTACTTTCAAAGAAGCAAGAATAGGACAATTGTTTCCCCAAAAGAAGCAATGAAATCAAAGCACGAAGGAATTATGTTTTCAAGGCATTGAAATAACGTAACTGTCAATCTAGAATTCTACACTCAGTGAGGACACGTTCCAAAAATGAAGCCATTTTCAGACAAACAAAGCCAGAAAATAAGACACTGGTAGACTTATGCATTTCATAATGGCAAAAGTTTCAACCTAACAAAAAGATGAGAAATTCTGACTTTCTAGGCATGTAATGACACTGCCTCAAAATATATAAAG